TTTGAAAACACCGACTCCCTGCCAACTTCCATTACTATTCCAGACTCAAGGACTGAGCACGTGCTTCTTTAAAGATATTTGACCGTGAGAAATTCATGAGTGTACATTTGTTATAAAGACCTGATGCTTATTGATGCTGCCACTTATTTAACTTATTGTATTGTTTGTGATTGCAAGTCTAAAAGTCTGTGTGTCTCAATATATGTTTTTTTTGTCATTTGTTCATCATTATTTGTTTATCTTCTGTGGTTATTTACTGATTTCACAATTGTATTCTGTACGCATTTCAGTTTGCAAATCATCCCGTAACAAAATAGTAAAAAGTTCATCTTGAAATTCTCTTAGACAATACCTTGAATGGAATCACACCCGAGTCCATCATATATCGTCATCTCAGAGATGTCAGCGTTGTTGATGACAATGTAAACCCCATCAGAAGACTGGGTCACCTCGCCACCAGCCGACCTCGCCACGACTGTTGTGTAATATTTCTACAAAAACATTCAGACAACTTTTGTAGCAGTTATGTATATGCTGAAATTATCTCATTATTACTATTAGCATGATTAATATAAGCATAAAGTTAACTAATGGTGGTGTGGTGTGTTAACTTCCGGTTCGGTATACCGTGGACGGTGTTAATGTGACTGCACTGTGTGGAACTTTCCATTGGCTGGGTGGGTTGTATATAAGCGTCTTTACGTTTTCAACACTGTCTTTACGTTTCTCTCACGCATTTGATCACATCGGAACCAGCTTTCATGTGAGGATCGCTCATCATCCCTGCCTAGCCAACCTCGGAAGCTTGACCACTGTCGTCGCTGGGTGAATATATAGTATTATCACTGATTTTTGCTATCACCACTGTATATATGTATTTGATACTGAGCACTGCCATCATATTATACATTGCCATTGGATATCATACTACCATTCTATTGTATACGGCCATTGTAATTGCTGTGCAGTAGTTTGTATTGATTTGTAAAACTAGTTAGTTTTTGTAATACATTTGTCAATTGTATACCGCTGTTGGTAGTTTGTTGGTTTCACACTACATTCTTTTTCTTACAGATATCTGGGTTAACATCTTGATTCAATTTGGAAATCGACACGTAACAATATGTCTGAGTGTTGTATGCAGCAGAAAAAGTAGACAGTTGCTTTGCTCTTCAACCACTGAATTAACTGGTCAACCATGGATTTCATTGAAGGAACATGTGACTGTAAAATTGATCAACCTCAACTTTTGATTGATATATGTAAGTTGTTCCGTTATCTGTCTATACTGCTTTTACAGACATAATTCATTATCAAACAGATGAGTAAGAAAAACTCTCAACTACACTGCAGGTCTATGTACTAATGCAAATGTCACCTGTGACGTGTTCAGCAGGAGATTCGTAAAGTGATGCTGTAGCAAGTGCCCTGTGTCTTCATAGCCTCTCACGTCAACTACCCCGGGCCTGGTGCCAATCCCCGCCCTGTAGGTCACGTTCAACATGTCGTCATCAAACCCATACCACCTCGCCTTCAGCCCTTGTGTAGACAGTTGGTAGTCGGAGTCCCGCAGTTCCTGCAATGTTCGAGGACACTGTCACAGCCATGGTGCAAATTAATGAGGGGTTGGGTAGCCTAGTGGTGAAAGCATTCCCTCGTCACTTCGAATATCCGGGTACGATTACCCATATGGATACAATGGTGTTCCCTGCCTTGATATTGAAGGAATATTGCTAAAGGCGGAGAACTCACCAAAGAAAAGAAGCAAAACGCTTTCCACGACCACATGAAATCTCTGCTACAAGCAGAGTCGATTGTGTGATTCCGACTCATACAAATAAAATTTCTTATACTCAAAGTAAAATGAGTTCATCATTTACAGTGAGAAGGTGAACAGTCGTTAAACAGCTTCATTCTGCTTTGAAATACTATCTGTGAAGAAATTACGTTTGCTGACCGTTATCTGAAATAGTTCTTCTTCATTTACGGGGCAAACATCCATGACGACACCAGGTGAGGGCAGCGTGACGTCATGGACGTAAGGTTCTGCTACCGCCACTGTGGACAGCCCGACTGTGTTGGTGACCTTGACTGACACATAGTAGGCGTGGCTGTGATGGAGGTCCCAGTGGAGGTCCAGGAGAGCTACTGTTGTACACGTGGGCGGAGACGTCACTGTGCACCCTGCTCCTGACTGCAGGGCAATGAAGGGCAGGACCTCAGTCCCATACGGCGAGGTACCTGCACACAGTAGAGTATGTCAAATGTATGCGTGGGAATTCCATGTGATAATGTATCTGCAGTAAACCTAAGCTGGTAGTAAGAGGAGAATGAATAGGGTGATCAGGCTCTGTGACTTAGTTGATTAAGAGTCATCGTACCCTGAAGGCGTGAATTGTCAACATGAGTCACTGTAAATTCTGGTTCAAACATATAACTTGGATGCTGATGAGTGTGACGTTAAACAACAAACTAACAAACAAAGATAAGATACACAGACATGACCCTTAGGGGTGTCATCGGACAGATATGTAATAAATATATTTAAGACTATTCGAAGCATTTATGAGATTAATTAAAACGAAGACAAGACCGCCACTTCTTACCGACGTCAGCCTCATACTTGAGGTGAGCAGCATCAGGGTCCGTGACATGTGAGTTGTTCCACGTCACTAGGAGATGACTCAGACTGGGAGTGAGGGCAGCAGTGACTCCCCCGTTAAAGACAGGCTTCTGGGTGTGCACGAGGAGACGCCCCAGGACCTGAAGAAAGCAGGAAGTTAAGGAAAACATGTCATGTAGCTCATTAGGTAATGTATCATCAAATGTGCTCAAACAGGTAAATAGACTGATAAGTCTCAGAATATAAATAAACTGACGTCCAAAAGAAACTTCACTATCTGAAAAAAATAAATTTCAGACAAAGTATAATTTTTTTTCCGATGAAGTCTATCTAAAACACATAACCTAAATACAACAATAGTTTATGCAGAACATGTTAATCGTCTTTCACATGTTTGCGAGAAAACACGCGAAAATGTGAAAAACACGTGCCCCACGGACAACTGCAAATGCACGTGCGGGTAAGGGTATAAAACGATTGCAACGGCAAGTCAGACATCCACAGTGATAAAAAACACACAAAAGAAATGCCACGACTGACTTTTTCTGTGCGTCGAAGAGTTTTTGCGTGTATTGAGGCATTTGGTGGTCACACACGCTACTAATGACTTGTTATTGAACGTGAGCGATTGTTTATGTAACCTGCCTATTGTCCATGATTCTGAAAGCTCGAGTTTTGTACCACACCCAACTTTGGGGGGCTCTGACGTCATTCTCGGTCGCGGTATGATTGTCATGTTCAGTGTTGAATATGTTGATATATTGATCTTCCTAATACACTTTACTTCATGCATGTATGTTTTGATGTTTTTGAGCAAGAGTGATTTCAAACTCTGGTAAGAATTCTTTTGGACGTCAGTTTATAATTCGACAACCCAGTGGGATTTCGGGTTTGGATATGGTTGTTTGTCAAAAGAGCCAAATTAAGGATCGGGAGTCAGGAACTGTGACCTAGCTGATTTATTGATGGCATCGACAGTATGTCATGCTTTCAGTCACTGGTTTCCTCGTTTAGACTCGATACTGACTGCCATTGAACGATACAGTTCACTCATCCACGAAGAATCAGGAGGGAACATTGCTAGTCTCAGTTTACCTGAATGGTTGTAAGCCCAGCTTTGTTGATGGCCTTGATGGCTATGTAGAACTCTTGCCCCTCACTGAGACGAGGGTGGTAGCCTTGATACTGGGGATGATGATGAGTGGACGTGTACGGCAGGATGTCTGGAGCTGCTTCACCAGAAGGATCTGACATCAGCCCCACCTCGTAGTCATAGATACCGCTCTCCGCGTCAGTTCCGGTCCAGTTTACAAACAGCTGGCAAGAGCAATATGTCATCAACAGAAGCCGCATGAAGAATCTTGATATTGAATTAGCGACATGCCACATGCAGAATCATGATCTTGTTGTACGTGAGTCTCAATTTAGAGAGTTATGATGATCTTTAAACTGCATTTTTAAAAACTTGTCGATTTATTAAGAGTGTACATGCTCACTACTATCAAAGGTGGGAATAGGGTGTGGAAGTGGTGAAAAACTGAAAACCTTTGTCCCACGAGACTCACAACATACACAATGAAACACTTCAGCATTTATTACCAAGTTTAGACATGATCGTCTGTTATGTAAGCTACTATAAATATTTCTCATACGTGGTGCTGTGTAGAAATGTATATCTGGTGGAAACTTGACAACGCATCAGACTCTATGCAAAATGTTGCATTTCGTTTCAACATCGTTCCATTTCTCATCACGTGAATGGGGAACTTCTCTAACTCTCCTGCATTGATTGCTGTTCCTTTGGATCTGAAAGATTCGGCCGGGTACACCATTAACACGGAGTGGGACCTACAGCTTAAAGAGCTCAAGGGTAAAAAAAAAACCACCACAAAAGTTGCATTTAAAAATTGGTGACATAGGAATATTTATAGGTAAATCCATTACAGTCGGTGGCGAGATCACTGTCGCGATCCATTTTCTCGTACTCAATAGACACAGCCATACGTCAAACAACCATCCAGCTTTATTTGTATTCACAACAAAGGTTTGAATACCAATAAGGCGAACTCTGATCAGCAACATTATTTATGCCTGCGGCATGACAAGGACAGCACATTGTCCACACAGTTAGAGCATTATACTGAATGGAAAGATGGCACTGGATTGTGTAACGTGAGATCTAACTAAAACATGTTGGGACCCATCATATCATACCAGAGGGATATCCATAATGTCTATGCGCTGCTCCGGGACGTTTGTGCACTAAGGCGAAAAGGAACCTCAAACATTATGTTTAAAGTCTTCTTTCATAATCTATAGGCAACAAGAATTGTATTGTTATAACTTAAACAAATCTCAATATCCTAATGGTTCGTACCTGCATTGGGTATCTGGTTCAGTAATTCTGCTTCTCCTGCGGTGATTGTCTATGAACCAGACCGTGCCTGATGAGGTGGTGACCAGACCCGGGGCAATGCTAGACGAGGCTACAGCAATCTGTCCCACTGCTGGTGGTGTGTCATCAAGGGTCACTCCGTCAGAACACACAGGGTCAGATGCCTCCAGGGCCCGGTTGTAGGCCACCACTGTCACGTGATACGTCCCTGGGGAAGGTGCCGACCATGCTGCATGTGTCGAGTAGGTTTCCGTCACCTGTAATTGTGATGGTTTGAGACGCATGTATGTGATTGTCAACGAGTAAGTATGCACCCTGGAAGAAACCTTGATAAACCCTCACTCGAAGGAAGTCATACACGTACATTTAATACACTCGTATCCAAACCGAAATGCTCCTTTTGTAGACACTTGTCCGAGAACTGATACTGGTAGAACTTGACCCCACTCTCCCGGTCAAAGAAGCCGTCCCAGTGGGCGTGGAGCTGCAGACTGTCCTGGTAGTCCACTTCCGGGTGTCCAGGCTGACCATCGTGGACAACTCCAGGGTGCGGTGGGCTTGCATCTACTGTCACCTAGAGGGGCAGTAACATGATAGAATGTGTCACCTAGAGGGGCAGTAACATGATAGAATGTGTCACCTAGAGGGACAGTAACATGATAGAATGTGTCACCTACTGGGGTAGTAACATGATAGAATGTGTCATCTAGAGGCGCAGTAACATGATAGAATGTGTCACCTTGAGGGACAATAACATGATCGAATGTGTCACCCAGAGAGGCAGTAACATGATAGAATGTGTCACCTAGAGGGGCAGTAACATGATAGAATGTGTCACCTAGTGGGGCAGTAACATGATAGAATGTGTCACCTAGAGGGGCAGTAACATGACAGAATGTGTCACCTAGAGGGGCAGTAACATGATCGAATGTGTCACCCAGAGAGGCAGTAACATGATAAAATGTGTCACCTAGAGGGGCAGTAACACGACAGAATGTGTCACCTAGAGGGGCAGTAACATGACAGAATGTGTCACCTAGAGGGGCAGTAACATGATCGAATGTGTCACCCAGAGAGGCAGTAACATGACAGAATGTGTGACCTAGAGGGGCAGTAACACGACAGAATGTCTCACCTAGAGGGGCAGTAACATGACAGAATGTGGCACCTAGAGGGGCAGTAACATGATCGAATGTGTCACCCAGAGAGGCAGTTACATGACAGAATGTGTCACCTAGAGGGGCAGTAACATGATAGAATGTGTCACCTAGAGGGGCAGAAACATGACAGAATGTGTCACCTGGAGGGGCAGAAACATGATCCAATGTGTCATCTAGAGGGGCAGTAACATGATAGAATGTGTCACCTAGAGGGGCAGTAACATGATAGAATGTGTCACCTAGAGGGGCAGTAACATGATAGAATGTGTCAACTACAGGGGCAGTAACATGATACAATGTGTCACCTAGAGGGACAGTAACATGATAGAATGTGTCACCTAGAGGGACAGTAACATGATAGAATGTGTCACCTACTGGGGTAGTAACATGATAGAAAGTGTCATCTAGAGGCGCAGTAACATGATAGAATGTGTCACCTTGAGGGACAATAACATGATCGAATGTGTCACCCAGAGAGGCAGTAACATGATAGAATGTGTCACCTAGAGGGGCAGTAACATGATAGAATGTGTCACCTAGTGGGGCAGTAACATGATAGAATGTGTCACCTAGAGGGGCAGTAACATGACAGAATGTGTCACCTAGAGGGGCAGTAACATGATCGAATGTGTCACCCAGAGAGGCAGTAACATGATAGAATGTGTCACCTAGAGGGGGAGTAACACGACAGAATGTGTCACCTAGAGGGGCAGTAACATGACAGAATGTGTCACCTAGAGGGGCAGTAACATGATCGAATGTATCACCCAGAGAGGCAGTAACATGACAGAATGTGTGACCTAGAGGGGCAGTAACACGACAGAATGTGTCACCTAGAGGGGCAGTAACATGACAGAATGTGGCACCTAGAGGGGCAGTAACATGATCGAATGTGTCACCCAGAGAGGCAGTAACATGACAGAATGTGTCACCTAGAGGGGCAGTAACATGATAGAATGTGTCACCTAGAGGGGCAGAAACATGACAGAATGTGTCACCTGGAGGGGCAGAAACATGATCGAATGTGTCACCTAGAGGGGCAGTAACATGATCGAATGTGTCACCTAGAGAGGCAGTAACATGACAGAATGTGTCACCTAGAGGGGCAGTAACATGATAGAATGTGTCACCTAGAGGGGCAGTAACATCATAGAATGTGTCACCTTGAGGTGCAGTGACATCATGGAATGTGTCACCTAGAGGGGCAGTGACATCATAGAATGTGTTACCTGGAGGGGCAGTGACATCATAGAATGTGTCACCTTGAGGGGCAGTAACATGATAGAATGTGTCACCTAGAGGGGCAGTAACATGATCGAATGTGTCACCCAGAGAGGCAGTAACATGATAGAATGTGTCACCTAGAGGGGCAGTAACATTATAGAATGTGTCACCTGGAGGGGCAGTAACATGATAGAATGTGTCACCTAGAGGCGCAGTAACATCATAGAATTCGTCACCTAGAGGGGCAGTAACATGATAGAATGTGTCACCTAAAGGGGCAGTAACATGATAAGATGTGTCACCTAGTGGGGCAGTAACATCATAGAATGTGTCACCTAGAGGGACAGTAACATGATAGAATGTGTCACCTGGAGGGGCAGTAACATCATAGAATGTGTCACCTAGAGGGGCAGTAACATGATAGAATGTGTCACCTAAAGGGGCAGTAACATGATAAGATGTGTCACCTAGTGGGGCAGTAACATCATAGAATGTGTCACCTAGAGAGGCAGTAACATGATCGAATTTGTCACCTAGAGGGGCAGTAACACGATAGAATGTATCACCTGGAGGGACAGTAACATCATAGAATGTGTCACCTAGAGGGGCAGTAACATGATAGAATGTGTCACCTAAAGGGGCAGTAACATGATAAGATGTGTCACCTAGTGGGGCAGTAACATCATAGAATGTGTCACCTAGAGGGACAGTAACATGATAGAATGTGTCACCTAAAGGGGCAGTAACATGATAAGATGTGTCACCTAGTGGGGCAGTAAAATCACAGAATGTGTCACCTAGAGGGACAGTGACATGATAGAATGTGTCACCTAGAGAGGCAGTGACATCATGAAATGTGTCATCTAGAGGGACAGTAACATCAGAGAATGTGTCACCTAGTGGGGCAGTAACATCATAGAATGTGTCACCTTGAGGGGCAGTAACATGATAGAATGTGTCACCTAGAGGGGCAGTAACATGATAGAATGTGTCACCTAAAGGGGCAGTAACATGATAAGATGTGTCACCTAGTGGGGCAGTAACATCATAGAATGTGTCACCTAGAGGGACAGTAACATGATAGAATGTGTCACCTAGAGAGGCAGTAACATGATAGAATGTGTCACCTAGAGGGGCAGTAACATGATAGAATGTGTCACCTAGAGGGGCAGTAACATGACAGAATGTGTCACCTCAAGGGGCAGTAACATGATAAGATGTGTCACCTAGTGGGGCAGTAACATCACAGAATGTGTCACCTAGAGGGGCAGTAACATCATATAATGTGTGACCTAGACGCGCAGTAACATAATAGAATGTGTCACCTAGAGAGGCAGTGACATCATGAAATGTGTCATCTAGAGGGACAGTAACATCACAGAATGTGTCACCTAGTGGGGCAGTAACATCATATAATATGTGACCTAGAGGCGCAGTAACATCATAGAATGTGTCACCTAGAGGGGCAGTAACATGATAGAATGTGTCACCTAGTGGGGCAGTAACATCACAGAATGTGTCACCTAGAGGGACAGTAACATGATAGAATGTGTCACCTTGAGGGGCAGGAACATGATAGAATGTGACACCTAGAGAGGCAGTAACATGATAGAATGTGTCACCTAGAGGGGCAGTAACATCATAGAATGTGTCACCTAAAGGGGCAGTAACATGATATGATGTGTCACCTAGTGGGGCAGTAACATCATAGAATGTGTCACCTAGAGGGACAGTAACATGATAGAATGTGTCACCTAGAGAGGCAGTAACATGATAAGATGTGTCACCTAATTGGGCAGTAACATCATGAAATGTGTCATCTAGAGGGACAGTAACATCACAGAATGTGTCACCTAGTGGGGCAGTAACATCATAGAGTGTGTCATCTAGAGGGACAGTAACATCACAGAATGTGTCATCTAGAGGGGCAGTAACATCATAGAATGTGTCACCCAGAGGGGCAGTAACATCATGAAATGTGTCATCTAGAGGGACAGTAACATCACAGAATGTGTCACCTAGAGAGGCAGTAACATCATGGGATGTGTCACCTAGAGGGGCAGTAGCGTAATGTGTAATGTGTGTTTAATTAACGTTACATGTATGTTAAGTAGTATCATCGTTACATTAAGATTCAAGAACTGTCAAACACTCGTTCAATCAGGCGCATGCACACATTGTTCGCTGATGCTTTAAAAAAAACTTACAGGAAAGAATTATCCTCACCTTGATTGCAAGCGACGTGTTTAGTTTTGCGTGGTTCATTACTGTAATCTCGATGAAGTAGTCGGAGTCGTGAACGCCCTTGTGCATGTCGTGGAACACGCCACCATGACTGAGATTAGACGAGATTATGCGTGGTTTGATCTGGAAGTGTCTGTGGTAACACCCTGTCCCTGGCGTACAGTAGCAGTTGGCACCCCGTGCATAGTCGCTGTACCTCGCTGTGCAGTTGGCCAGTGTCTGGGGGTAATTAAAGACAACTGAATAAATGCAATACAAACAGCAAGATTGGACCTCCCAGAGACGAAGAAAACATTGATATTAACAGAACAAAGCATCCAATGACAGAGGAAGGTATGTACTTGCGTGTCTCCTTGAGCTGATAGATGTTCTTCTCCGTGGTAGATGTCTGAGCCGGTGATGTTGTCGTAGAGTCTCCACGACACAGTCTCTAGACCACTGTGGTCATCAAACGCCAGCCACTCAAATCTTAAATGCAAGACATGATACTTTTTTGAACGAGGGATTGAGTTTGGTTTAACGCGCCTTTGAACAGCATTTTAGTTATTTTCACGGCGTGTCAGCTTCACGGAGTGATGTGAATCCTGTGAGCACGGGCATGGTACTGACAAACCTAGAAACATAGTTAATGAAAAGTTGGATTTGAACCCATGAGCATAAGTTTCACGAACGCAAGAGGGACGCAACTTAGAACTGCAAATTGCGGCGGATGAGACAAATGGGTCACCCGTTGCCATTGCTTTACGTTGGAGGTGCTGTTTACTTACTTAACATGCAGAAAGAGAAACTTACGTCATTTCATTGAATTCCTCTACTCTATGAACACTGATGTTGAGTCTGTCTCCCCTGGTGAGCCACAGGTTCTCTATGACTGGAGGCGATGTGTCCACGTGGACTGTCACGCTCTCCTCAAGGAGTTCGCGCCTGATGTCGTACGCCCTGACCCAGAACCTGACGGTGTCTCCGTCCACGAGGACCGGTGTGACTGTCTGGTGCTGATTCAGACCCTGGCTCTGATAGTTGGCGTCAGGAGGGGGAGAGAGGATGCTGCTGCCGCCACTGTGGTCAATCAGGAAGGCGGTGCGGTATTCAACTATGCCTGGAACATGGACGCCATTTCTCTCACTGACGTGTCAGCTAACTGTGGGGAGGTGGTTTGTGACACAAAACTATTATAAACAGAACAATTATACAAGACACCAGTTGTGACATAATCATGTGTATTGAAGCAGGGGTGATTGCTTATTCAGTTAAATGACATTTGATAAAACTCAAAACAATTTTTCATAAACGACATTTAACTACTTGCTCACGCTATCAACCACTGATTGTCTCCCCGACGGCATAGGTCATTGCTCACGCTATCAACCACTGATTGTCTCCCCGACGGCATAGATCATAGTTCAAGCTATCACCTGCTATCATCTGTCCCGAAGTCGTCACGTTAAAGCCCAACCACCTTGAGGGAATTGTGATAATTTCGACTACTGTGTAAATCAGGGCGCAGTCAATCAATCCATCACAAATGCTTCAAGTTCATTCATAAAAGGCAGGTATTGAGGAAATGAAATTCTATAAACACTTCCTCACCCTGCACGTGATCAATGGCGTCTATTCCCCTGGAGTGGTTGTTATCGTCGTAGTGCGGTGTTACGTCATGCAAGGAGGCTGCTTGCTTCAGCCACCCGTTGTTGTAATGGAGGGTGTTGATGTACCTGCAGAGTGTATACGGATGTGTTATATTGTTATACATTTGTGTGTCACAAGTAATTTGCATCGTGCTTGATTAAGTGACAATATATATTATCATTATTATTATTATTATTATTATTATTATTATTATTATTATATATATACTATTATATATTCAGATTTGAATAAATAAATGCAGCAATGACAGTTTGGGTGATCCTGGCACAGTCAGGATGGTTAGGCTCATCAGCTCATGGCCCTTGCCCCCTCTACACGCAGCCCACACAGCGAATGGGACTTATCCCAGGAATCGCTTGCCTGGTCGAATCCACCCAGAACTTTTCAGAGAATGTGAAGACCCCCCGACACTGCAGCCTTCTGCATTACCCAGGTTGGCAGAAGGGTTATATTCCTGGTAGCAAACCCGGGTACTCTCCCAATGTCAGTCAACAGACTGGGAGGCACGGAGAACAATGAGGAGTCGGACAACTTGGTGCTTGGGATGCAAGCGGGATATTTCGTAAGCGAGGTCCGCATATTTGCCATGTTTTTCCTGAATCTTTCCAGCCTACTTCATTTAAGCGAAGGATTCTACGGGGTGACTGCCCTTCTCAACACACTGTACATAAAATCGATGCAGTATTTGTTCAAATAGCCTCTCCTTGACAAACTGGCCGATTTGATTTGGCACTTCGCTTGGTCGACACTCATTTCTGTACCGTCTAGCAGTGCAGAACCATCAACAAAATCAACACCGACATTGAGATTATGTCCTTGGCTCGTTTCAAGAAAACTCCGGAATACTTTCTTTTCATCATGAGTCTTAACATGCTTCACAAGAGGATCATCAGACAAATAATGTCTGCAAAAGTGCACAATACAATTCTATCATGTAGAACCCCACGTTAATCAAACCACGCCTTCCCATTATCATTGGTAAATATAAGCGATTGAGGGAAGAACGTGGGTAATTGGATTTATTTTCTGACATGATTCACGGAGTCCAATTTTGAACAAGGTTACTTGCCAAGACAAGCACTACAGTGATACAGGTCACACGAGTTGGTTGATGCATGCTTCCTTACCTCTTCTCCCAGTCGACAGACACGTCCGTCGTATTCCACTGCCAGCGGTGGGTTGTTATAGAAGCCGATGACGTCACTAGAAGCTTCGTGTCATGGACCACGCCCACTTTTGACACCTCATCATAGATGAATATTCGCCGAGCACTCTTGTGGTTTTCGGCCTTGTCGTAAGCGGTTAAAACAAGCGCATACACCCCGGGGTGTGACAGATTAAACTGGCTTGAAGATATCTGCAAACCAAGGATGAATGATGTATTATTAAGATGTGAAAGATCAGATGACAAAAAGTATTGGCTTGACAAAAAAAATCACACACAATGATCATGATATATAACTATTTCATCCATGTGAGTAATTCCCTCTAAATTTGTTGATTATACATTTGGATTAGTAATGTGACATGTAAGAACATGTTGTTATGTTTGTAGTATCATTAAGCGAACAGAGTCAGCTGATTGCGACATGAAACCCACGAGCCCGGATGAGGTGTCGAGACCAAGGATCAAATTCGTTCCGAATCTGCCCTTCCAACCATCCCTTCAATGATCCTGGCTTTCTAAGGGACGCAGTCCTGTGAGTGAGTGAAAGCATATAATCTGTCACAATAGCATACCTCGCCTCTGTATCTGTCAGGTGCAAAGGCTAGGAAGTTCTCCACGAGCTGAGAGTCACTGATGTTGGGATGTTTGTCATAAAGTTCAAATATCGACACCAAGTAGGAGAACACCAGGACATCGTCCCTCCATCCCTGCCACGTGACACTGATCGGAGCCTGAAGTCAGACGGATACATTACATGTGTATATGACACTCATCAACACATGGACATCACTGACATGTGAACATCATGTAACAAACAGGCCGATTACTGGCCAGCCAAGCAGCATCCAGCACAGTGCAGGTTTTGCTCCTGTATTCACTGTATCCATAAGTCTGGAGACCAAGAGTACATACATGTATAACCATGTTATGCCATGCACCTTTAACAGACTAGAAAATAATTACAATATTCAGCAATAGTCTATGACGTCACATAAGGTCATTCCTACAAATATATATTTATTGGACTACATTCTACAATCTTACAAAACTAGAATAATAACGAGATTACTATTCTCGCATTTTACAATTACAGAGTTCCCAGGTTCCCAATATATAAAATTATTTAATTAAGCAACTATAATCTATAATCTATCCCTATTTGGTTTTCATGTACACTGATTCAGAAATTGGACTCGTTGTTAAACTCAGTATTGAGAACAATAATCGTTCTTCACAAGTTCTCAAATGACCTGTGTGTGGGTCTTGGCCAGCGACATCATGTCATCTGTGCAGTTCTCCTCCAGATCTACACTGCAGTGATGTGGGTCTATGAAGTCAAACCCGAGGATATAACGATTGATTTGTGTCTTCCCTTCGTAGTAGTAAGTCACGAGAATGTCGCTCTCCTTGTTCCTCACTTTAACGTAGCCACCATTAGTTGCCTCAAATGTAAATTCCATTCTGAGAAAAAACAAGACGGATGATCAAAGAAGTGCAAGAAGCTTGCGTAAAATGTAACCGGCTATTATTTCTGTCATAGCAAATTTAAACGATAAGTTTAGCTTGATTATTGCAAAAAATGTTCGTTTTTCAAGGCCTTCTACCATGTCACGTCACTCACATATCTCCACTCTCCACTGGTAGGGAGAGAAACGTGTCCGCAGTCACGTCCTCCTCACAGGTCAACTTAGTTTGACGAGGTGCCGTCTTACTGGGGCCATCGCAAGGTCGTACAGAGCTCAGTATGACAGAGTCGTCTGGAACAAACTTACAACCTTAGATCTGCTTACATTAATCGGACTACTCACACACAGGCTATTGAGAAATCTCAACGGTTTACCATTAAAACATTGCTTTTGAGAGGACCAAAGGTGAACCCAAAGTGAACATGTTTATCAAATAGCAACTAACTATGGATAGCTATTGATGTCAATTGAAGCCACAAAACCGTTTAAATAACCATAAGAAGCATAAGAGTCAAGAGTACAATTCCGTCTGTATCATGAGAATGTGTTTTTTAATCACTCTCAAGTGATGATGATACCAGGGACGTGGGAAAAGGTGAGCGCCTCGGTCACATTGTGAACACCAGTAGAAAACACATACAAAGGCAAGTCGACTGCTCATCTGAACAAACACGTGATCATGTGATAAAGTCAAAATAGCAATGACATCGGGCATAATATTAGTCAATGATCATGAAGGAATACACTTTAAAAGAACACAGAGTTCATACTTCGTGTAACTTCAAATGTTGCTTTGGCGTTGATGATGCCAACAGCAAATCCCTCAACATAGGCCTGTCTGGGTAGTGGAGTCGCAGTCATGATGAACTTGGTCTCGAATTTGTAGTAGATCATCCTGGTGTCGTTGATGTTGGCCCAGGACTCGTCTTGGGGAGCTCCTTCATTGGGGTTGTCTGGGGCTTCCACCTTGTCCAGGCCCGGGCCGGTCACCTTCAGTGTGTTGGACAAAATAGACGGGAACGTGTCGACTGGAAATACAAGGTGAGTGAGTGAATGTATCCTCGATGATCTAGTGTATCATGCATCCATTTCCTTTGCCCACCAAGTCAGTAGCCAATGAACGAAGAGTAGCATCAAACAAAGTTGATAGGACCTGTCAATCAAGGCAGGTAGCTTAAATAACTGTAGCTATCAGACTGTAACGAACTGTAACATATATGTCAGGTGGAAGGCGGATGGTCAGTTACCGCCAGATTCATCAGTTTCCCTATGACGGGAAGACAGTTGGAAAAATGCCCCAAGGAAACTATTTCCATGGATAATCAAAATTGGTTATTCTCTGACGTTTCTCTACATACATTCGCAACCATATCTTAATTTTAAACCCTTTACGAATAACACAAGCCAAAAGAGTCTGTGCTGAGCTACAGACAGGAGCGATGGAGGTGGTGATGTAATTTCAGAAACTAAACAATGTTGAACTGGATCACATTCTGCAGCAAACCCAAGAGGTATTTATAGAAAAGAGTGGATAAGTGAATGTTGTTTAAACAGCAGGCAAAAATAGATATATCAACGGCCTGGACCCGGCAAACCCGTGACATCACCAACTATCCACGCACGAGGTCCTGCAATCAACCAAGTCACCCAAATGATTCCTGATCGTCTCTAGGACAAGAATGGGCCACTTGCGTCCTACTCTGACCCAGGCAGCAAGGACAGAGATATGGCTGAGTGGAAACCGTTCACCTCACTGTGTGCAGGCCGTCATTCACACATTTAATGTTTTCAGGAAAACAAGAAAACTATTGATTGGAAAATATTGTAATACTTTATAATTAACGTTTGTGCCAATATGTTCCTCTCGGAACTAAGGTGCAACATTGATTTTGTATGTGTATTTCGTTCCTACTTTTCTCGCAGTGACTGCCGCTAAACTCTGTTGTACAGATACAATTCGTTGCATATTCCTCTGCACATTGTCCTGGGTAGCACCGTGTACTGTCACTGCGCCACGAACATGCCTCTGAAAAACACACAGCATACTCGTGTCAGTCATACATTCGAATTAGGTCGCATTTTATATAGCTACAGGCACCATTATAGCTGTAAACTAAAATAGATTATATATTTGATTAAATTTTCAAAATCACCAAGTAACTCTCACACTGGAACCTCACTACTTTTGTCATAAAATATATCTGCACCAGTCAGTTAAGGCAGAAACTCTAAAACCTTTATCTGGTTATTATGTAAAATAATTAGGACTAGGTATTAAATTAAATTTAAAGGTTTTGAAAACATTTTGCAATGTTTGTCTCAAAATAAATCAGGCATGTTCGATTGGTTGGCAATTGGCCTTTCTTCTTCCTTAAATGTGCAATACTTTCATTCTGACATGATGAGAAAAGTAGGTATGGCTAAAGTGAGTGAGAGGGCTCATTTTTCGAATTTGAAGTCCCTGACCCAAGATTACTTCTTACCTACATGTCCAATACCAATCAGAATGGCTCAAATACACGATCATCATTAAATGTTTGATAAAGGTAACAAAGGGCGTTTGTAATCGCAGGAAACGTAAGAGCCCGAAGATTACGCCTATTCCGTGAGCATTTGTTTATTGGTCCAGCCAATGTACCACGAAATCCCTGTCTCAACGATGAACCATAATTCTTAATACAATCGATGGAGGACTTTCTTAATATGCACAAAAAGTATTTGATACAAGTGGAATAGTGTGGTATGAAGTTGAAAAATCAAAACTTCTTAGAGAATCGCACAGATTCACGCTAAAGCTTTGACTTTTGTGAATCCCCTTCATCACCAGGTCCTCACTCTAAAACTATATTAACTGTGAATATAAAGAAGTTCTTCCTGCATTAAGGATTATGGTTAATCTCTGAGATAGGGGCCATCTTTGGTGGTACATTTGCTGAGCCCTGCAATTTATTCACCTCATCAAAAGTATCTCATCACCAAATTGGAATTTGATTTTTTGACTGTTCAGAGGACTCTAAATGGTCAAAAGTACCAACATACAATATTGGACGGTTTTGTTGAGCCTCATTTTGATAACCATGCACTAGCAACACGTCCTGTCTCTTTGGACAACGATGCCCTACCTCACCGACTACTGACCATCTCCAGAACAACGCCGCTGAGACTCTGCCTTTGGCATACCTGAATCCAGTCGAGTATCTAGGGATCAGTTGGGTCATTCAGGGATCTCCAAAAAATGACCCAGACATTGCATCAGGAATTGCAACACATACCTCAGTCGTCAGGCGCCTGAGTTTGAGCATGAGGAGGTGTCTTGTGGATGTGGTCCGTGCATAGGGTGGCTGCACCAGATATTGGCTTACACTATTGATCATTTAGCTGTGACATGGGTACAACATTACTGAGACATGTACGTTTTGATCTACCCATCTCATTCCTGACAGTTATCATATTTACCCAGTTCCAGTCCTTGTAGTAGCTGGCGAATAAAGTTGTTTCTTTTCTTTGCAAATGCTAATTTTTCCTTTTATTCATGAATTAACATCTTATGTGACGTTAAATAACACTTTTGTTTTGCTTTCAAGCTTCTCTTTACACTTTTCTTTTCTGATTATTAACAACTTATGGTGGTGAGATACTTTTGATGAGGTGTATATTTCTCGTTGTATGGAATGTTATGGAGCTTTGGAATGCAGTACAAAAGAGAACTGGACATGTCTTCAGCCCAAAGTTGATAATACACGCACGGACCTGTTTTTGATTTTAACCAAATGTTTCAAGGCAATATCAAGTACTATACTTACTTTTCGATATTTGGGACTATTACTGTTTATACCCCCATCCACCAGCACAAGTTGTTAAAGGTCTTTCAAACACACTTCTTAAAAACTTCTAAAACCAGCCTGTTTGAAACATTAAATGTCGTCACAAGTCACAAATGTTCAAAATGAACAAAGTCCTTTTCTCATTATATGAACAACTGATACGACAATTTCTACATTTGATTTTTAAATAGGTTGTTATTGTCATCAATTACGGAGATCCTGTGAGCAAAGGAGGCATTTGTAACACCTTGTCCAATGGAAATATGCAACATTTTTCTGTGTTTGTGTACTGTTGAAGCCAGTATTAAATAACAAGCATGTCATAGATGATGTGTGGGTGTCCACAATTCCCGATACTTACGGATACAGGATTTCTTGTCTGTGGTGACGGCGTAAGCTCGTTCCCCAGCCAGCTCCCTGTACACCCCTTCACACCGGGAACACACCTGGTCAGAGGGCGACGTACATTCCTCCAGGTCACAGTTGGAGATGGCCGAGCACACTGTCCATAGAAAACAGGGCATACAAACACTACCGACCTGAGAACTGCAGGTAACCAAGTGACCAGAAGGAATTTTAGACTTTGTCAACGTATTTAAGATATCCAGTTGTGATGTATGTATCATGATTATTAAAACAGGTCAGCGCCCTATTATTGATTTATTTCCATTAACCAGCCAGGGCTGCCAATTTGCAAAGCCTCTCTTCAGGAAAATGAAACTAAATGTAATTCTACAGATCATCCCACTACCGTGGTTATTTAAGTTGGCTGTATGTGGATCTGTGAGCACTCGGTCACTGAGGAATACGTGTGCATTTTAGAAAAGTACACAGTTAACAACTCACTCCGGCATCTGTTTGGGCTGGCATAGAAGCCCATCTTGCAGCTGGTACATATCTCGGGGAGGCTGCAGGTGCCCCCGCTACTGTATTGGGTCACGCCATCGCTGTAGATGATGTGGGACGTAGGGTAGTCAATGTTGCAGGCGCCGGTGGGGTTGATGGCGTTGTCGCAGATGGCTACAGATGGGATGAAGTCAAATTAAGTATAAGATGTCATAATTGTTTCCGACAGTTATCCAACGATATATTTCAGCTCACTGATTCATATCAATTTACTTAATGTTCTCTTACAGTTGTCGCAGATAGCGACGGATGTGGTGATGAAGTCAATAAAGTACATGTCAATCAATGACAGAGCCTTTTTCAGATTACATATTCATATGAATGTACTGAATAGTCCCTTAAATATATTTGTGATTAGTATGCAATGTTTCCGTAAAGGTAGTTTTACCGTGGGGACAGCCATGGTTATTGGTAGATCTGTATCCAGATTGGCACACATGCTGCTTGTAGTACACTGTCCTGTTGGAGAGATAGATCACATGTATGTACAACCTATGCTGGCTTTCTGGACACAGAGAGATAGATCCCATGTATGTACAACCTACACTATATGTACACAGAGAGATAGATCCCATGTATGTACAACCTACACTATCTGTACACAGAGAGATAAATCCCATGTATGTACACCCTACACTACCTGTACACAGAGAGATAGATCCCATGCATGTACAACCTACACTACCTGTTCACAGAGAGACAGATCCGATGTAATTACAACCTACACTATCTGTACACAGAGAGACAGATCCCATGTATGTACAACCTACACTACCTGTTCACAGAGAGACAATTCCCATGTATGTACAACCTATATAATCTGTACACAAAGAGATAGATCCCATGTATGTACAACCTACACTACCTTTACACAGAGAGATAGATCCCATATATGTACAACCTACAATACCTGTACACAGAAAGATAGATCCCATGTTTGTACACCCTACACTACCTGTACACAGAGAGATAGATGCCATGTATGTACAACCTACACTACCTGTTCACAGAGAGACAGATCCCATGTATGTACACCCTACACTACCTGTACACAGAGAGATAGATCCCATGTATGTACACCCTACACTACCTGTACACAGAGAGATAGATGCCATGCATGTACAACCTACACTATCTGTAAATAGAGAGATAGATCCCATGTATGTACACCCAACACTATATTTACACAGAGAGATAGATCCTATGTATGTACAACCTACACTACCTGTTCACAGAGAGATAGATCCCATGTATGTACAACCTACACTACCTGTTCACAGAGAGATAGATCCCATGTATGTACAACCTACACTACCTGTTCACAGAGAGATAGATCCCATGTATGTACAACCTACACTACCTGTTCACAGAGAGACAGAACCCATGTATGTACAACCTACACTATCTGTACACAGAGAGATAGATCCCATGTATGTACAACCTACACTACCTGTTCACAGAGAGACAGAACCCATGTATGTACAACCTACACTATCTGTACACAGAGAGATAGGTCCCATGTATGTACAACCTACACTACCTGTACACAGAGAGATAGGTCCCATGTATGTACAACCTGCACTACCTGTACACAGAGAGATAGGTCCCATGTATGTACAACCTGCACTATCTGTACACAGAGAGATAGATCCTATGTATGTACAACCTACACTACCTGTTCACAGAGAGACAGAACCCATGTATGTACAACCTACACTACCTGTTCACAGAGAGATAGATGCCATGTATGTACAACCTACACTATCTGTCCTGAGAGAGAGATAGATCCCATGTATGTACAACCTACACTACCTGTTCACAGAGAGACAGATCCCATGAATGTACAACCTACACTATCTGTACACAGAGAGATAGATCACATGTATGTACAACCTACACTACCTGTTCACAGAGAGACAGAACCCATGTATGTACAACCTACACTATCTGTACACAGAGAGACAGAACCCATGTATGTACAACCTACACTATCTGTACACAGAGAGATAGATCCCATGCATGTACAACCTACACTACCTGTTCACAGAGAGATAGATCCCATCTATTTACAACCTACACTACCTGTACACAGAGAAATAGAACCCATGTATGTACAACCTACACTATCTGCTCACAGAGAGATAGATCCCATGTATGTACACCCTACACTACCTGTACACAGAGAGATAGATCCCATGTATGTACACCCTACTACCTGTACACAGAGAGATAGATCCCATGTATGTACAACCTACACTACCTGTACACAGAGATATAGATCCCATGTATGTACAACCTACACTACCTGTACACAGAGATATAGATCCCATGTATGTACACCCTACACTACCTGTAAACAGAGATATAGATCCCATGTATGTACAACCTACACTACCTGTACACAGAGATATAGATCCCATGTATGTACACCCTACTACCTGTACACAGAGAGATAGATCCAGTGTATGTACAACCTACACTACCTGTACACAGAGATATAGATCCCATGTATGTACAACCTACACTACCTGTACACAGAGAGATAGATCCCATGTATGTACACCCTACACTACCTGTACACAGAGATATAGATCCCATGTATGTACAACCTACACTACCTGTACACAGAGATATAGATCCCATGTATGTACACCCTACTACCTGTACACAGAGAGATAGATCCAATGTATGTACAACCTACACTACCTGTTCACAGAGAGATAGATCCCATGTATGTACAACCTACACTACCTGTACACAGAGAGATAGATCCCATGTATGTACAACCTACACTACCTGTTCATAGAGAGATAGGTCCCATGTATGTACAACCTACACTATCTGTACACAGAGAGATAGATCCTATGTATGTACAACCTATACAATATGTACACAGAGAGATAGATCCCATGTATGTACAACCGACACTACCTGTACATAGAGAGATAGATCCCATGTATGAACAACCCACACTACCTGTACACAGAGAGATAGATCCCATGTTTGTACAACCTACACTACCTGTACACAGAGAGATAGGTCCCATGTATGTACAACCTGCACTATCTGTACACAGAGAGATAGATGCCATGTATGTACACCCTACACTACCTGTACACAGAGAGATAGATCCAATGTATGTACAACCTGCACTATCTGTACACAGAGAGATAGATCCCATGTATGTACAACCGACACTACCTGTACATAGAGAGATAGATCCCATGTATGTACAACCTACACTACCTGTACACAGAGAGATAGGTCCCATGTATGAACAACCTACACTACCTGTACACAGAGAGAGAGATCCCATGTATATACAACCTACACTACCTGTACACAGAGAGATAGATGAAATGTATATACAACCTACACTACCTGTACACAGAGAGATAGATTACATGTATGTACAACCTATAGAATCTGTACACAGAGAGATAGATCCCATGTATGTACAACCTACACTACCTGTTCACAGAGAGATAGATCCCATGTATGTACAACCTACACTACCTGTTCACAGAGAGATAGATCCCATGTATGTACAACCTATACAATCTGTACACACAGAGATAGATCCCCTGTATGTACAACCTACACTACTTGTGCACAGAGAGATACTTGTATATATATTTTGGGAATTTGGGGTGACAGTTATTGATTACCTTCATGTCTGCTAGTTATTACTTGTTTGCAGTTTTTGGAAATATTCTTTTTTTTTCTCTCGTTATTATCGTACAGTCCAAACACCTTCATATCACACATGCGCTCATCGTGAACTCCGAGTTGTAGCTTCACCAAATTAGGCGGAATCTGAACGGAAATGACCAATCAGGCACCACTTACTGTACAGCATCTCATAATTCCACAGCCAGAAATACACACAAAGCCATTACATTTTGGGTTTACATTCGATTTTAACATAATAAAAGTATACAGTCGTTTTTATATAAGACCGGAGATCGTGCATTGAGCCAAAATTTAATGTGAAGTTTTACCTATTTTAGCTGTTACCTGTTTGCAGTTACTGAATACCTGTATGGCGATTAGTGATTACTTGTCTGGCAATTGTTATGGCGTATATCACAGTTAGTGATTACCTGTATGGCAGTTACTGAATACCTGCATGGCAGTTAGTGATTATATGAATGATAGTTGGTCATTATCTGTATGGCATTTAGTGATTATATGTATGACAGTTGGTCATTATCTGTATGGCAATGTGTGATTATATGCATCACAGTTGGTCATTATCTGTATGGCATTTAGTGAGTATCTGTATGAAAGTTAGTGAATATCTGTTTGGCAATTAGTGTTTTACTTGTATAACGGTTGGTCATTATCTGTATAACAGTTGCTGACTACCTGTATGGCAGTTGGTCAATACCTATATGACAATATATGTTTGGCAGTGATAGCTGGCTTTTACCTGTGTCTGGTGCACCGATCCATGTCCAAGAAACCGCACTTCTGTTGTATCGAGACTGTCGTGAGAGTTCGTTATTACCTGTATGACGGTTGGTGATTATCTGGATTACAGTTAGTGAATATCTGTATGGCAGTTAGTTATTTACCTGAATGGCAGTTGGTCACCACTTGTACAGCTGTGAGTGATTATCTGTATAATAGTTGATCGATACTAGTTGCTGACTACCTGTATGGCAGTTGGTCAATACCTATATGGCAATATGTGTTTGGCAGTGAATACCTGTATGGCATTTGATCAATACCTGTATGACAGCTGGCTATTACCTGTGTCTGCTGCACCGATCCCAGTTAAATAACCCGCAACTCGTATAGTATTTCGACCGGCGAGACTTGACGTTCGTGATGACATTTATCCTGCGACAAAAATAAACGTGAATGTGACTTATAACATACTTGCACAATATGGTAGGACTTTGTTCATATATGAGTTCACACATAATTAGGTAAGACTTACACGTACATCTAACAGATCATGGCAATGGTGTTCAAAGCGGTTTTTCTCATGAAAAAATACGTAGCCAACTTCCAATTGGGTTTCCAGAGTTCATGCAAATAGTTCAGATACTTCTGCATTGATGTGTCCCTTGTATTAACCGGAAATATTGAGTACCGTGCGGCACAACAACGTAGCAGCATCAGAACAGGACACCAATCACTGAATTTAAACAATGCATTTCTTTGAAAATTTGAATGGTTAACATACATGTATTTACAATTTTATGTCTTATGTCAACTGTTTTAATTATTTGATTTCAAACTACACCAATACGTTGTGCAAATAACCTACATGTTTTATATATCCATATCATCTCGAGATAAAAAAAAGTACAGCACGAAATAATTTTTTATGCGAAATTTACACGATATACGATTTACACGTCACATGACCGCAAAACTGACGTTCCTTAGTGTCGACAAATAGTGACGGGAATGTGTATTTGAAATTACGTCAACACTGTCGGAAAACGTCTACAAATAAATACTCAGCGTTTTTTAGTGTACATCGGGGAAATGTCAGAGAGTTTGACTTCATGCTCGTTGACGAATATCCTCGCTGCGACCCATCCAAGTGAACAAAATGAATTAAAGTGACAAAATCCTTTCCATATTCATAAGAAAAGTCACATTATGAGTATGTGTTTCTGAATCAAATATTGATGAAGCTAGGTGTTTGCGGAATGGTGCACGTATCCTGCTCCTACAGCTACACCCGTCACAAACACATACAAACCCAGTCAAATGTTCACAGGCAAGGCAACTAACTATTTCTGAATTTCAGTGAAACAATGTAGCTTAGGTAACTGCAAAGGCAAGTCAATGCTTTATGTAAAACAACAACATATGTTACAAGTGACAAAAATGAATTGCATCGGGCATAAGTTTTGTCATTGATGGGCAAATTTGGAAATGTCCTCCACATCCACAGGCCTTGGATGCTGTAACAGCTTTTGAGCAAGCGTTGTAGGATGCGCTTTGAAATCTTCGAAGAATAAGCATGCTCGGTTGTACCTCAAAACTAAGGAAATGAAGACACCAAAGGCAGGAGAGCCTGAAATATTGGTCGACATGATTGTTAAATTGACAATTAGAAAGTTACAATGGAGAGTGTTTTGCCACTCTGAATCCTTATACACAGACCAAATTATGACACAGATGATCACAACTATTGTCTCAATCCGTACCAAGACTGACAGTGAAAGTCAAAGGAAATCTATCAGATGTACACACCTACACAACGAACGTACAAGAAAAGCTTGATCAAACGTCAGTTTTTAACAATAGACTTGAAGAATAGGTATAATGGCTTTTGTACGGACATCGTCAATGAAATTAAAGGCAACCAAGTGTTGCTGATGTCGAGATACGTACATGTAGATTTGACGATAATACATTGAATCGGTTTCTGGCACGAAGGTAACGCAACCCTTCATTTAACACAAGGTGTTCCTCTCCATTTACTCAGGGCCTACTCATAATGCCGTTGTGTGTCAACACCAAACTCACTGAAGGCCTTACATGTATTCCAGGAAACCGATGAGAACATCATTCGTCATTCTATCGAGAAGGTTATTCTCTGGCTTTGACGTTTTGTATTTATTAACTCGCCTGTACTATTTCTGGTTTTGGTAGTGCTGCAGCAACGTTGTGGCCTCAATAATTAAATCTGACATTAGCCCAACATATTTTGGGCATGACCCGGAGTGATCCCGGGTATTGTCTCCGTATTTGGAAACTGCTCGTTCTTCCCCCAGTGCCATGCATCATGCACCCGGAAGCAGTACAGCTCACACCCGACAGGCACTTTCTGTCAAAAGTTAAATAAATCCAACCTACATATTACTGGCGAACGCACAAAGATTATACGTGGGCCGAGAGCTAGGTACTGGGTTATTGTGTATTTACTGTGGATGACCTCACAAGGTGATAAGAGAGAAAATATACATGTAATGTTCTGCAGTATGTATTTAGCGTTAAAACACTCAACATGTTCAGCTGACTTCTCATGCGAGTGAAAATACATTTCATGCTGGAACAATTTTCAGTATGCTTCAATGATCAGATGAGTTAGAAAATACATTATAAATAGAATATTCGTCCTGTTAAATAAATGTTCATCTGATCTCGTGATAGAATAGGTCTTCAGCAACCCATGCTTGCCGTAAAAGGCGACTATGCTTGTCGAATAAGGCGACTAACGGGATCAGGTCGTCAGGCTCGCTGACCCAATTGCGTGGGTCGATGTTCATGACATCAATCACTGGATCCAGACTCGATTATTTACAGACTGCCGTCATATAGCTGGAATATTACTGTTTGTGGCGTAAAACAACAAACCAAACCAAACCAAAAAACTAATCTCGTGACCTGAAAAAGTTGGCTGCTTCATAGATATCGATTTTGTGAGGTCACTCGATGAGATAAACATGTCAATTAAACACGCAAAGCTAATTATATTAATCATCTATGTATTCAAACACTTGAAATTAAGTTTTTTCCTTTATCCTCTTAAAAAACCTACTACATTTCAGCATAATCTAAACTTGATTGCCACTTACCCATTTTCCGCAAGTCCTTCAACGCCGTGGAACTGGAGGAGACATAAGAGAAAACCACAGAGTACCAGCTTCATCGCCATCCTTCACCACTCACCTCTTCCCCGTCAACTGAACAGCCGCGATCCAGAACTCCTTAACCAGGAAGTTGTGACGTTACCAGGGTCGACTTGCATGCTCATGACATACCTGGAACCTTTGACTGCATTTAGGGTTACGTCTGAGTTATGCGCAGGAATGTTTACAACATGAATAAATCATGACTGCCCGCGTGGTGGTTCCTGGTAAGAATAGGTCCCCATAATTCGCGGTATTGAGTTGGCAAGCTCGGTGACAGACTAGAATGAGCCTTCCTAACGGACACCTGGGACGTTAATGTTATCAGTGACCATGTTATATAGTATAGCCTCGCGATAAATCACAAAGAACAATGAAGAACGAAGCGTGGTTTATTTCACGATAAAACAGTGTTCTATCATGACGTCACTTTTGGTTTGGAAATACCAAACTTAATCCACCTGTCAAGAGGTCGGATTTTATTCAGGGAGTTATCATTATTAAGATTTGGATGAATATTTTTAAAGCTTATACATTTCATCAACCTCCCTACAAAGGCTGTACATCATGTTGATATCCCATGTAAGAAGAGGTGCGTTCTTTTGCACGTCGCTATATAAGTGCAATGATCTTAGACGCGACGTAAACCCCATTTCACCTCACCTCTGATGTGGAAAGCGCATTTGGTGAAGTTGTTAAATTCAATTCAGTGTGCTGGAGTGACAAGTTCTCGCACACCCTTTTCCACTTCACAAGATCGGTATTTTCTGCGGTGGTCGTGAGCTACCAGGAAGTGTACCATACCACTTGAGTGTACGTTCTGTGTTTAAAAAGAGTTGAGGCCACATTTGAGTTATTGGTGTTGACATATCATAAACACAGCACGGGTACATTTCTAGATTTTTTGCATAAACTATTGATTTTGTGAAGGTGTTACGTTATTTGGTCAGCAATAATAAGGGAATGTTTACATGCAATGATCATGACCACTGAATACGAGACGTGTAGCAGCGCTACCTGATACTCCACTTCTTTCATTCGCTTGCCACCCGTGAAGATCAATGAATATACACGTAATCGTATACCAATTACGTTGATCGATGCAAATGGAGGCGAGGCGTGAGCCGAGCCCAATATTTTCCTGCTAACCTAATAAGACACCGTATACGGCAACTGAAGACACCGTAACGAATTTATTATGTCGAAAGATTTACACTATTTGGTACCATTGTCGCACATGTCATGTCAAAATGAAAATTTGACACTAACAACCGGTGTAAATGACATGATCAGTACATATGTTTTCGATATACAACGCTTTAACGCAAACATAAATGTTAACAATTGAATATATAATGCACTAAATGTGAACGTTTAAAGTATTATCGCTAAAATGGATAGAATTGTTATAGAAAATGCCCTCATATTAACAGAAATCTGCGGGCCACTGCACCTTTATATAAGTTTCCCAACCCATAACGACGTCTTCGTTATTACTTTGTGACGTCATTAGCGTTGCGTGTCTTGTTTGTGACGTCATCCTATATTATGTTTTTAATGAAGTTGCGATTTGTAACTCAGTGTAAGCTTTCTTCTCTGTACCTTTGTTTTATCAAGTCAGGAACGTGTTTTTTTTTAAAAAAGGAATGCATTTGCGCATCGCAATTGATTATATTAAAAGAAAAAACAGTGTCGAATAACGAATTTCTGTACCCAAATATTCATGTGAAATATGTGAGGCGGGAGTTGCAAAATCCAAAATGTATGTCATATATTAGGTCAGTAGCAATCATTTTGAATTTTTACTGACGTATACCGGCTCATATGGGATTAGTAGTTCTGCTTTCTGATTGGTCAGTCTCACTGTGAGGCATAATAAGTAGCTATATGCCTGCCTGTTCGCATTTCCCGACCAACCAGTAGAGCGAAGAGGATATATACTCACACGCAAAAGAAACGCAAGTCGAGTATGCAGTATGCATGTTATTTATTTTCAACAGTAAAGACAAGAAATACTTATAGGGCAAGATTGACAAAAAAATGACTGAAGTCAGTTTAATGGCTTTAAAGGCATTTGACACAATTGTTTTTTTCAAATGTTAAGGGCTTACACAGTTTCGGATCAATACCCAGACTGTCAGTCAATACCTGGTGTGACCACCATTAGCATTGATCACTGCCACACATTGTACATTGAGTGGATCAGAAGTTTTGTGAAGGCCCTAGGGATCTTCCTGC